TACAATACGTTATACTCAAATGATGGGCAAAACGTCATCCTTTTGGTCCCTAAAGCCGTTCATTACAATGTTTTATGCGCTAACTCTCATTCTCAAGATATTTTCCCAATTTCTCTTCTTTTCTTCAACGAATACTTATAAATACTTATGTGAAACACAAGTAAATATAACGGCTATCACTGCCCTCGAGACGGATCCTCCGCTCTCTTGAGGCCTTTGGAACACTTTACCACTGAGGCAGCCTTGGACCCCTTGGTGATCATGTGCTCCTCCGAGCCTGTCAAGGGCAGAGGTCCGGGGCCTATCTTTTTCCGCTCCGCGTTGGTCCCGGGACTGAACCTTCTGGGATGCAGTGTCCTGAGCAATGACTCCTTCGTTATTCCCGATTCTTGGAACCAGTGCTACGAAGGGGGGCAGAAGTGGCGGGCATGGAATGTCATTCTCCCCCATGTGGGCCTGAGGTAGTACCAAAGCCCCGAAGGCACCAGGGTTCTGGGAGAGAGTGTGGATGAAGACAGAGAAAGCTGATTGTACGTCGATAGTTAGGACCGGAGGGCTAATTTGGTTTTCACTCCAGTCCTTACTACGGGTCTCGAGACCGACACGAGAGTCAAGAGCATTCTTCTGGAGCTGAAGGCGCAGGTCAGCAGCAACCTGCTCCATTTTAGCGAGGGCCCCGCCTTCGGGAGCCTTGTTTGAGGCTTCAACAGTGTTAACTTCACCGAGGCCTAGATTCTTTTCCTCTAGGGTCTTGGATTGACCTCGAGTTCTACCCATTCTGAGGAGTGTTTTTCTGAGGGGGAGGGTTTCTTACTTGAATGTTCGACCTCTTAAAGAGAGAACCAAATGATGGATAGTGTACCCGGGGGGGGGGGGGGGGGGGGGGTAGCTTACCCGAGGGATATTATAAGGAATATCAAAAGAGAGGTCAGAGCAAGTAAGAGAGAGAGAGAGAGAGTATGTATTCGATATAGAAATTGTGTGTCGATTACAATGGAAAATGACCGCTATTTATAGCTGCCATAAATGCTAGGTCTAATCAACGAGAGTACACGTGTCAAGCATTCAGCGATGGAGGGTCAACTCAGTCAGGGTGGCGCCGACATAGCATGTGGCTGCATTCAATGTGGTGGTTTGGGTGTGACATTGCATTTAATGTGGTGATTCAGCGCATCCGGAGAGGAGATCCTGTTGAGGAGAGTGCCCTCAGCTATATGCATCCGGGGGCTGTATATACCGAGGGCTATGCATGATCCGGAGGCTCCCTGTGCCGAAGGCTGCACGTAATTGTAGCCTTGGTTCCCAGTGATGTTAGTGGACCAGGTGTGACTTTTCCCGAATGTGTGGCCTTCGGCCATGGGGCCAAAGGCAGTAACCTGTTGCAATATGGGCTGCCCGGAGCCCTGCTTGCTGTGTTTGGGCTGCTTGGGCCCGTTGGGCCTGGCTGTAATAGTTGAAGTATGTGGGTCGGGGGTTTCTGGGCCATATACTCCATCAGATGACATACGAGAAAGTTATGTGATTGCAACGTCTATTATTGTTTATGTATGAAAGTTTATATTGGAAAAAAAGCTAGGATTACAAAAACTTTAATTTTGATTCGCCTACTTGAAAAAACATCACAAATGTAGTACGGGGTATTATTTAAAAAATACCAGCTTTAGCTGTCATGCATTTAATTTTAGTATTTAATAATCTTATATTTTATATTATAACAATACAAATACACTAGGTCACAAGGAGGAAACTTTCCGTTCTCTACATTTAAGCTATTTTGTTTTTGAAAGAAAAACAACTATTTATTAATAATAAATATGATCAGTACAACAGTAATCATGATAGTTTAAGGCTACAATGAGATGAGACAAAGAACTAAATAGTTCCAAAAGAACATAACATTTCACTAATCCCGCAAAGATGTAGACTCCTCTATCAACATAGAAGCTTCTGCTACTTAACCAATAATCAATACTAGAAAAAGTATTAATTTGTGACAAAAAAAACAAACTCATAAATCGGTTTCATCTTCCACCGACAAGGAAATAACAGAAAAACTGAGTTGTCCAGCCACCAGAAAGAAACAACTAAAATTCTCAGTTTGACCAACTGTTGGGAAGAAATTGCAAATATCATCGATTTAACCAGCCACCGAAAAGAAGATCCAATTGAACGTTGTCTTTCTCTCATAGCACGCTAGTGGTTCAGGAGGAGGGTGAATAATTGAGGTCTTGGAGTCGTCGATGTCTAAAGTTAACCTCCCAAACAAATCAAGCATGATAAACATTACCATCCACCAACAATAAAACTTCAACACCCGATCGGTGACACCGAAGAGGAATACACAAACCCTTGATATTGCTAGGAAGAAACCACATAAAATAACATGAAAATACTTATAAAAGAGATAATTTTCATCTTTAGGAGAAGAAAATTGATTGAGAAGAAGAGGAGTGAGGGGAGCTGGCTAGGGTTTTACGCTTCGCCACTCCCCAAGTCGCCCATTAGGTTTCCTTCTGCCGATCAGCAAAGCTTATGTATTTAAAGTATTGTTAATCTCCTATGTATTTAATACATTCATTTATTTGATCCATTTATGTTTTTATTTTTGTAAAATACGAGAAATGTACGTCTTATTTCTTTTTTTTGTAAAGTGCAGGGAGCGGAAGTTTTTTTCCTTTTAAAAAACCCAAACTTTATTTTCGTTTTAAACAGTACGTGTTTGAAACGCGTTTAAAACGCAAGAAAAAAAAAGCTAACTGGCGTTCAGTCAAATATCCCCTTTAAAAAAGGCTAACTGGGGTTCTGCCAAATATCGCCGTTAACCCAAAAAAGGCTAATTGGCATTTAAAACGCAACAATATATTTATAAATATTAACGGGTTTACAATATGCACCGTATTTTGACCTCCTCATTTCCCCCTTTAACAGTATAACGTTCTAAATTCTATACCAAGCCCTACCTATATCCACTTTTTACCAAACTAAGAGCCCGTTTGGTAAGACTGATATTCGGATTATCAGGCTTATCAGCCAACTTTTTCACCAAACATGTAAATTTTGATTTAGCGGACTAAAGAAATGTGGAATAATAACAAAAAGTAAGGTTGAAGTTACTTTTCTGTCTATTTTGGCTGAAGTTACTGTAAAGGATCATTTTAGCTATTTTTACATATATTTTTTTCTTTATTTTATTAATACGGAATATTTTAAATTTAACTTTTTCATAAATCAGCTAAATCAACCAGTACAATCACTTAAGCCAGAACTTCATAAATTTCAACAAGATCGATCGATTCAATTGATTTTAGTGTTACCAAACGGACCCTAAAACTACAATGCTTTCTTATATTCTCAATAATATTACTCAATCAGCACCAATCATTAGCTCGGGCCGGTTGGCCCGACCCCAGGACCGGCCCGAAACTGGTACTATGCTGAACCGGCCCGGTCCGGTGGCCCAACCAGTGACCGGTCCGAGTAGACCCGGTCCAGGGGGTTCCCGGTGCAAGCTCAGGTCACCCAAAAGCCGAATCGGGCCAGTTCTGGGCTTTTTAATTTTTTCCCCAATTTTTTTTTAACTTTTCAGGTTGGGTTGGGTATTTTGGACCATTTGAGGTGGTTCGGGGGTTGGGGGAAGGGGGGGTTAAGTAGGAAAACGAAAAAAAAATAAAAAAAAGGCCCGGCTTGACCTGGTGGTAGGGTTGGATTCGGTTCAGGTCACCCGGCCCGTGACCCGGCCCGGCCCGGTACTGTGCGGGCCTGGGACCGGTCCGGTCGGGCGGTCCGGGACCGGGTATGGATCCGAACCGGTGGGAATGAGCAAGCGGGCTCGGTGCTGGATTAATGTGACCCGGCCCGGCCGGGTCCGGTCTTAATTTAAAAAAAAAATGGGTCTTGGGCTCTTGGCTAGTGGGCTACTAGTCGTTGGGGGTGGGGCTGGGGACAACCCAAACGGCTATATAGCCGTTGGGTGGGGTAAAGGGGGGTCCGGGGGGGTGGGGTGGTGGGGGGGTGGGGGTGGGGGGTAAAAAAACCTATAAATACTCCTAATCTTAAACATTTTTCCATATCTCTTCTCCAATTCTTCCTAAATCCTATTCTTAACTCTCTAATTCTCTTATTCTCCAATATATTATATTTATTATTTATATATTTACTTTATAGTTTATACTTAAGAAGTTAAGATGGAAAATCAAGATGCCATTATACAGTATAATTTTGATAAACAGAAGGACCCGAAGACCGGGATGTGGTACGCAATTTGCAAATGGTGCGAGAAAAAATGTAGCATGGAAGTTTCAGGCGGATACGGGATGTCAATCAAGGATATGAAGTCATGTGACAAAGCTAAAGGATCGGGAGGTGCGGGAAGTTCCTATTTCATTTCAAATAAATGCACTTGAAGTTTGTTTTTAATACTCGTATAAAACTATAAACTATAAAATATAAATTATAAAAAAAAAAATAACCGGCCCGGCCCGAACCGGACCCGACCCTTGACCCGGGCAGGTGGCCCAGCCCGACCCGGCCCGAGTCCATCAATATCTGGTGGCTACCCGGGCCGGTCCCAGGCCCACCTGTAATAACCCGAAGGCCCGGCCCGAGTCCAAGCCTAGTAGCAAGGACATGGATACACATGATGACATGAACGTGAATCCAGGGAATCAGGGATACATTACAACAAACTGTAGTCCGACATACTTAGTATAAAATATAGGGATTCCTAAATGCAACATAAATATTAATAGAATATTAGAAAATAGAAATTATTGGTTAGACTTACAGATCTGTTTTCGCATAGAGCACATAGAGACACTCGATTGGGTTAAAACTTGGAAGCCTTGATTTATAAATGTTAACACTAGTCCATAAAATTTTTGACACACCCAAGTGTAAGTTACAGATATCAGTTACTAAAATTGAGTACCTCAATTGGGCGAAAATGACGCCTCAATTGAGCCTCAGTAAGGTACTAGATTATAACCTTTGCAGGCCATAAATGCATGAAATCATGGAGTATAAAACATAACCCAAAAATTTTCTGTCAACACGAAGGCAAGATAATCTAAAAAAGAAGGGTATCATGATTATTACAGCATTTGCAAAATACAAAAGCTTTCAGTGTGGCCTGAGAACTGTAATAAATGTTGGGATGCAATTTGACTTTATAATACGTAAATGCTCACAGCTAATAATAAAAACTAAAACAAAGTAATCCTACAGATTTCTAACGCTACAGAAGCTGAACCCCTTGCTGTATAGAGCTCAAGGCACTTCTTCTACCTCTGGAATCCTAAACAACCCAAGTTTACAATCGGCTGGAACACAGGTTAAGAGATACAATTGGCTAATTGAAGAAGCAAAACATTACACAAGAGAATAAGGGTGGCTGGGGGACATTAGCAACTCACTATGTTTTCAGGTCTTCACACCTTGACTGAAGGCTGCATTTCATCCTTTGTACCACCAGCTTCCTCTTCCTCTTCCTCATCATCTCCTTCATCTGCAAGTTTAGTGAGCTCATCCTGGATCATAAGTTTTATAGATGCCTTTCTTGATGTGAAATCTGTGTTAAACCGCTTGGCTGCCAAAAATAAAGTCAGAAAATCATTTATTGAGTAAAATAATTCCCTATCCATTTCATTATTAATTATTAATATCAGCAATCCATTGTGCCAGAAGTTCATGCATTAAATTTTCTCTTTGCACCCCTTTTGCAGTTCTTTTCAAATAGGTGTGCGATGGGGGACAGGGTTTCTGAAATGGATATTTGGTTGTGCAAAACATACCAAGTAACTTTAGAATGTCGGTGAAGGTGGCCTGCAATATGAAATAAAAGAGGTCAATTGTAGACTTTAGATATTTAAAAAGAACACCAAGGGCCAAGTAGTACAGCTCTAACTAATACACAAGACATACTTAGATTCAGTGAGCACACAATAGTAGCAAGATTATACATATCACACATGACCACAAGCATGGATTAAATCTATACATAGTCAGTAACTTTTTTCAAAGTTCGGCACCAAAAAATCTAACATAATGAATAGGCAGCTGTAAGGAGTTGCCATATTTACGCTACACAATATGTTTCGAACATTACAATAAAAATGTAAAAATGTTTAGTAGAATAAAAACTAAAATTATAGAGATGACATGAAGAGGTCTAATTGACCTCATTGGTAAATTATCATTTAATCCTCACCGTGTTGAAGTCAACTTCTTTAAGGATTTCACAAATTGATTGTCTTAGATCATCATCAGATGGCTTTAACTTATCTTCTTTTGGTTGAGCCTTCACTTTCACAACCTTTTTCCCTGCAAGAGGACCCAGTATTTTGACAAAAGATGTCAAGAACTTAAGAGTATAATGTCATTACTTCCATGGGAATAAGATTCAGAATGCCCATTGAGCATGATGAAATAGGGCCACATGTTTGAATTTGAAAGATTTAAATAATACAACAGTAACATTAAGATTCATGCCTTTATTTTCTTTAGAAGCCAGCTTCTTTGGAGTTGGGGGCTTCTCTTTTGCCTCGATTTTTTTCTTCTTTGAGGATGTTTTTGTGCTTCCGTCATTATCATCAGCTTTAGGTTGACTTGATGTTTTGGAGGGGGTCTTTTTGGGTGGGCTAGGTTTTTTGGGGGTTGCAATATCCTTGGTCATGGACTTCCCAGCAGATTCCTTCTTTGATGACGATTTCTTAGAAGTGAGCTTTTTCTTAGGCTTATCCTCATCAGATTCATCATCAGATTCCTTCGGTTGCAGGTTCTTTGACTTGCGTTCATGGTCTTTCTTATCCTCTAGCTCATCTTCGGAATTCTTTGATGCTAACTTTTTTGACTTTGCTTGTTTTTTCTTATCCTCCCCAGACCTATCTCCAGATTCCTTTGGGGCTGACTTCTTCAACTTCAGTTGCTTTTTCTTATCCAAATCAGACTCATCCTCAGATTCTTTTGATGCTGACTTCTTTGACTTTGGTTGTTTACTCTTATCCTCCCCAGACTCGTCTTCAGGTTCCTTTGGTGTTGATTTCTTAGACTTTGGTTGCTTTTTCTTAAGCATGGCTGGCTCATCTTTAGCTTCCTTTGGTGCTAACTTCTTTGATCTCGGATGCTTTTTCTTATCCTCTTCAGCAGACTCGTCTTCAGATTCCTTTGATGTTGACTTCTTTGACCTTGGTCGCTTTTTCTTGACCTCCTCAGGCTCATCTTCAGATTCATCTTTCTTATCACTGCCAGCATGGTCTGACATCTCATCATCTGATTTGTCTGAAAAGCCATTAGCCTTTTCTTCGTGTTCTTCTGGTTCATCCTCCGAATCATCTTCTGATTCATGTGAATCATCTTTCTTCTCACCCTTTTCAGGTGCACTCTCAGACTTTAAACTCTGCAAAAGAAAGCAAAAATAGGCAAGTAATTACTGAAAACTAATCTTGAAACACCTAAAGACGAGAGAGAAATATGCAAGTTGTGATAGACATTATATTCTGCTCTCTTTTTTAACTATAATCATTAAAATTATACTACGTAGAAGAGAGTCCATAATAGAAAACCCAAAAACTTTTAGCTACCCAGAAGCACTGTGGAAATTTGTTAACTATAATCATTAAAATTACCATGATGAAGAATTATGTCTCTTTTGGGACAGGAATATTTTGTTTTCATGTTTAGTGTTTACACGGCTTTCATGTAATGAGTAACGATAAGGTGCAAATGGTGGATATGGAAACGGAATATAAACACTACTGGGTTGTGTCCCACAAACATATCTAAGATAAACCCTTCAATTAAAAAATGAATCCTTGGATTTAGGTAAATGCTCCCCACATTATGGCTTTCAGCAAACTGAGTTACAAACTGCATAAATAAAGAGCAAACAAATTGGACATGCTGCTCAATCACTTCTTCTCTCCAACGAAACACTTGACAAGAGTAACATCCGTCACAGATTAAAAAAACATGAAATGAGAAACAGTTGAGAATCATGTGTTCAGTGTATATACTATATGATATAGGGAAAACTATCAAATTAGTCCACGTACTATCTTCAAAAAGTCAATTGAGTCCGAGTACTATTTTATCGATCAATTGGGTACACAAAGTCTCAAATTTTAACCAATTTTGCCATTTGACCGGTAGACAACCGGTGACCCTTTTTATTGCTGACGTGGATGCCACCTCAGCTTTTTCATACTTTTTCCTTTTTTCCCTTTTCTTTTTCCCTTTTAATTTTCTTTCTTTTCCCCTTTTTTCCTCTGGTTCGTCATCCCCCGATTCATGGGCTTCCGGCAACTCCCTCCTTCATTCCCTTTTTTCTTTTTTCCCCTTCTCCAATCTCCCTGCAACTCCCTCTCCCATATTCTTCAATCTCTTCTTTTTCTCCACTGCTTCTACTCCACGCCAGCACCCAATTCAACCTCCTCCTCCCTTTACTCTTGTCCACCCCCTTCTCCTTTCCCTTTTCTTTCTTTTTCCTCTTCCTCTTTCTCTTCTTCTCCACTCAACCTTCTATCCCCCTTCTTTTATGCCCAGAGAAGGCAACCCGACAGAAACCCTCGTTCTTCTTCAATGGCAACCAGACAGCGACGGGGAAGGTGGAGGCAGAGCTTGACGCCGATGGTGACAGCAGCGGCAGAGGTCGACGACATAGAAAGACGGAGAGGTAGAGAAGGGAAGAAGCAAGAAAAGAGAAAAGAGAATAAAGAAAGAAAAGAGAGAGAAGGAAGAGACGAAGAGAATAAGAAAAGAAGAAAAGGGAAGATTTAAAAAAAAGGAAAATGAGGCTCTAATGCCCACATGGATGGGCCAAATCAGCGCTTACAAGGAAAAAAGCCACATGGATGATCCATGTCAGCAGATTAACAGGGAAACCGGCCAGCCACCGGATAAAAGGCAAAATTGGTCATTTTTTGCAACTTGGTAGACTTAATTTGTTGAAAAAATAGTGTGTGGACTCAATTGACTTTTTTGACATAGTAGATGGACTGATTTGACAGATTTCTCTATAATATATTATTGGAAACATTTATGTTTGAGACTAGGAGGAATATTATTAGAACATTGAATTTAAGTAATACCTTAGCTGCGCCTTTTGAACTCCCAGAAGCTGATGATCCACTTTTACTGCTTGCCCTCTTACGCTTTCCCTTAATTGGCTGCTAAAGAGAACAAAAAACTCACATGCATGTATTGTGGGAAAATGAGAGAATTTAATCCAAATGTTTGCAAATTCATGTGGTAAAACCTGCTCTTTTTCAGCAAGGAGCTCAGATGTTGTAGCATGAGGAGCCTCCAAAAATTCCACCAACTTCCAGACTATATCTTCCTGTATGCTTTTAACATTTTTTAAGTTGCAACCACACAAAAATACATTATAGGGAGATAGCTTAAGTGTGATTCTAATAAGGATGTCTCTTTAGTGAATATTGGATACTATACACATTAACTAGTAAAAATACATTAATAGTTTACCACATTAGCTGCCTTTACATTACCAATTTGTAGTCTATCAATCATTAACTAGTTGAGTCCAAAAATTAAAGTTGCCTATATCTACTCAATTTATGAATTTACAGGGAGTATAAAATACTCTAAAGCACAAAAACTTCAAGATATTATTGAAAATGGCAGGGAGTTCTACTAAAGTACTAATCGCATCTTCATATACAGAAAACTACCAAGCAAGATAGAGTCAACAAACCTTCTTTGATGTGGTTTTAGCAACAGGTAGGTCAAGCACATCACAGAATTCCAACAATTTTTCTTTCACAAACTTGTCAAATTTTTCTTTAACTTTCAGCCTTTGCTTTTCCTGCAGAGAAATTAATCATAATAATGTACCCCATTGCTACTTCAAAAATGCAATTCAAAATTAAATTACTAAATGGGATGACAGTTCTCCAGCACAGCAACCCATTACCACATTTTCGCTCCACACAAAACCAGAAAACCGCGACAAATGATTCTTAAATTGAGCGGCCTGTAAATATATAGATCAGTTAGAAAACTTGAATAAGCAAGACCACATAAAAACACGATTATCATAAACTGATTGAAAGAAGAAATGCCTTGAAAACAAAGAGCAAGTAGGAGACGAGTAATTTATAGCTTCAGCTTGGAAATGCTGCATATTATTCTTGTTGCATGGGGGATCCAGGGCTGGGGGCTCAAAAATTAAGCCAATTGTGAATCTATATATTTAGTAAAATAATACAGGCAACTGTCTTCTTACCATGCATACTTTTATAAACAGCATTTAATGCATTGTAAATCACATTAGGATAAACAAGTTAAGACTTGGAAAGTCACCTTTCCTCTCCTTCCAAAGAGAATTGTATGTAGAAGTTTGAAAATGTCATCCGTCTTCTTTCTGGATAATTTATATGCCACTGAATCATAAACTTCTGGTGAGATTGTAATACAATCATGAAAAAATCAACTCTATAATTGCACTGAAGGGCTTGTATGTTGCAAATGAAAAAATATAACCAAAATATTTTTATGGCCCAAATCAACAAAAACCGAGATATCACAAAACCAAAATATGGCATTCTGATAAAGCAGGTAGGGATAATCCTAGGCATTCCTATGGCGTGATTGGTTGCTGGGTCAAAAGGAAAAAGCCAAAAAACAATCTTGGGCGTCCCTATGAATGCATAGAAGACACCTAATCAATGCTCAACGCAATTCAATGTTTGGCACTCTTAAGGTGAGACGCCCCGTTATGGAGAGCATTCAAGATTACTATTACAATAGATAGGTATGTAGGTGTAGATACTAGATAGTACACATGTAGTTAAAATAAATACCATTTGGAATGTCCTTGAGCACAGTTCCACGACCCTGCACAACACATTTAAATCATTGGAGAAGTTTAATAACAGAATATAAATAAACCAACTAACGCATGGGTATGGAGATTACATTAATTTAACCAAAAAAATGAATAAAGCTAAAAAGGAACCTTCTCTATACGAAATTCCTTGATAGAATCTTTCTCAATGGATGCAACAAGCCTTTCAACAGATTTTCTTTCACGAACAGGACGTTCAACTGTAGGTGCTGTGGGAGTTTTTTGGTCAATCTCTTTCTTATCTTCAGTCGCCTTTTTCTTCTTTTTTTCTTTCTCCGCAGAGTTATGGTCCAACTCAGCACTCTCCTTAGATTCTGGCCCTTCGCTGGTCTCCATGTCATTTTCAACTTGCAATTTATCAGCCTCTTTTTCAACCTGATCCTTATTCTCATCATCCTCAGTTTCATCCTCATCGTGATTTTCATTAGCCTTCCTCTCAACCTTATCCTGAATCTCATCAGCCCCCTTTTCAACCCTATCCTTACTCTCACCCACATCTTCTTTAGCCATATCCTTATTCTCATCCACCTCTTGATCCTTATTCTCATCAGCCTCTTTTTCAAACCTGTCCTTATTCTCATCTGCCTCGTTTTCAACTGCATCCTTAATCTCATCCACCTCATTTTCAACCTTATCCTTAATCTCATCCGCCTCATTTTCAACCATATCTTTTTTCTCATCAACAACATCCTTACTCTCATCAACCTCTTTTTCTACCTTATTCATGTTCTCATCAGCCTCTTTTTTAACCTTGTCAGGATTCTCCTGAGCTTCCTCTACAACCATTGCTTCAACCTTGTCCTCCGAGTTTTCAACATCTACCTTTCCTTCCTTTTCTCCTTTTTCTTCAGTCACATCTTTAACCTCATCATTCTCATTCACAGGTCCTCCATCTACATCCATTGTATCTGCATCAACCTTATCAATATCCTTTTTATCTTCATCCATCTCCTTGATCCCACTGTCCTGAAGGGCCTCAATGTCTTTTTTCTCCACCAAAGCTTCACACTTTTCCTCCAATACTGCATTACCATTCACGGTTGACTCGGGCAATTCTGAAACAGTATCTCCCTCCCCCATAACTCACAGCAATCCTGATACCAAAAACTTAGAGAACAGAAAATCGAGGTCAAGATCCACTCAAAACCCTAAATTTGCATGCTCGCAGAAAGAAAGTCTATATTGGAAAAAATAATCTGGCGACATATTAATAAAAGGCAGGAAGTTATCATACGAGTAAATTAAGATGGTATAACGAGATATATCATGATTACTTCTATGTATCACCAACTCACGACTTACAAGGGCCAAATTATTCGACGTTAATTCAAAAAAGTAGCTAAAGATTCAATTTTTTTACCAAAATAACCAAACCCTAAGCCAGCACACCTAACTCTGCCCATACTTACACTGAAAGATGGAAATTGCGAGGCATGATCCAGAAAGCAGTAGGATAATAATTAAAAATTCAATCACAAAAGAAAAAACAGAACTTACAGATGCTTCAAAGCTCAATCCCGAGATTATGAGAGCTACACACACAGTCCAATCAGCGCTTGCGGTTCATTTATTTTCCGTTTTTTTTTTGTTTTGTCAACAATTTAGCAATCTGAAAACGAGAAGTTTTGGAGGGTCGGGTAATTTTGGTGTTTTAAGACCGCGGACTTGAAATCCGGATTTAAATTTCGGATTGGCGTGGCTGACAGTGGGCGGAATTTTGTGCTAAAATGGGAACTGGATCGAACGGTGATCAAGAGTGGGATACCAGCATCCAGAAAGTAGCGGTCGAAATTGCACATTTCATACTAAGCTCGGATGACTAACCGGCAACCGGAGAAACAACCTCAATATTCGCCCGTGTCTTTGCTTTATTCTAGTCCTGTTACCGTTGACTCCACACACTCGCTTACTTTGTCTTTTTATTTTCATTTTTTTAATGATTGTTTTGTTATTTTGATTCTCCATCCTCAAAAATTTAGAGTCCATTTGGTAACACTGAAATCGGATTAGAATGTTTTTACTTGGACTGTAATTCCTCCCAGACCAGACCAGATAAGAACAGACTTGGATAGTTATAAAAATACAAAGAAACCAGACCAGACTAGACCAGATCAGACCAGAACAGACCAACAAATTACAGTCCAAGTAAAAACATCCTTATTCTGCATTATTTTCTAATCCGTTTTTATAAACCCATCCCAGAACAACATGCATTTAGAAAATACTTCAACAAATACAAAAAAAAAAATAGTCTGCAATATTTTTTAGTTCATTTTCTAGAAAACATGGTCAAAGTTGACAAATACTCCTTCCGTCCTCTTTTAAATGTCCCATTTTACCATATTGGGATGTCCCTATTTAATTGTCTCATACCTTATTTGGTAAAGTTTGTGTGACTCAAAATCATTCTTACTTTATTCTTACTTTATCTATTAATATCAACCACACAAACTTACTTTTCTTAAAACTCGTGTTACCTTCTTCCGGGACATTTAAAAGGGGGCGGAGGGAGTAGGATTTAATGTTTTATGCTCACCATAACAAGACTATGGATTACTATTTTAGCAGAAATATAATTAAAACCGCAAATAAATCCAAATACCTAGCACGCAGAGCCGCTAAATTCAGAAAATCTTGAATTAATCCCATAGCAGCAAGCCGCAACCTCTCCCGCAACCTCCATACCCGCACAACATGTAACCTTATCCTCCTCGTCCTCTTTCAGACCCTCTATTTTCTTCTTTTTTAAAAAAAAAATTAACTTTCTATTAATTTATTTATTTTTCAGATTCTAAAATCAAATTACTATTTGGATCTAAAAATACCAGATGAAAAGCGATGTTTCAAGGAATGACCACTGATGGGAAATATTTGTATTTGAATTTTTATTAATTTGTTAGTTTTATTGCTACTACCTACCGGCTACTACGGAGCATTTAATACTCATAGAAAAATGACACTTTTATGTCATTACAATATTACATTTAAGGATTTGACAATATTACTTTAAAAGTCAACACTTATAGCCCGTTTTGATAGTTTACATATGTTTAATTTTCAACAATTCTTGATGTACATCTTTTTATACACATCAGTACATCACGTGTCTGTGATGGTTTTTTTGTCTGTGAATCTCAGTCCACAGATAAAAATTGGCTTGTTTTGTCTGTAGAATTTTTCACAGACAAAACAAGTCAGTTTTTGTCTGTGGACTGGGATTCACAGACAACAAAAAAAACTCTCACAGACACGGGGGTGTACTGATGTGTATAAGAAGGTTTACAAAATGAATTTTTGGTTTAATTTTTGCATGTGAAATGGTCGTATGCAAAGTTTAGGGAAGCAAACACTTTATATTTAAAATGGATTACATTGTTTGATTAGATATTTAATTTATTAAAAAAAGATATTTAATTTATTTTTAATTTGCACGCAAAGTGTTTTATAAAAAGGATGCAAAGTTTTTTATCACCCCCACGTAAAATACTTTACATGATAAAGTGAGAAATGTTTTTACAAATGTCCTACGGTTTACATTAAAAACTCAGTCAAACAGTATAAATCTTTTACATCTCTTCACTTTGCACATGGAGTCATTATTTTACCTCATGCCAAACGTCGTCTTTTAATTGTTCCAATAAACACCGTCTTTTGAAATGTTACGAGTATGTTTTTTTACCTGCTTGCTAAATGATGTCATTTTTATGACGCTAAATGTATACAGATTGCAATATTAAGTTGGCAATATTAAGCCTCGTTTTTCTCTTATATTTACATGTTCAATTGTAGTCTGGTAGTCACATTATTTCTTGCAAAAAAATCAGAATTTCAACCTCAAAATTCTTTTATTTTTCATCTAATTTTTCCCCCATATTTTTGCATCTCAAAATGTCAGGTGTTTATATGAAAATGTCATCATTATGTCATTATTCTCATCAAAATGCATTATCACTACGTGTCTACAAAGACTCATCGAAGGGCGGCAGCCCACCGAAGGGCGGAGGCGGTTGCGAACCTGCCAGAGGGTAGTTGAAGTCTAATGCGTACACTTGTGGCATGGCTTCGTCGAACTAGTTTGGGAGTTGAGGGGGTAAGCTTTTAATTTTATTTCATTCAGCGTAAGTTGTCATGTTAGTCCTATAAAACATAAAAGTCCTATTTATACACTTTTACATTGTTTTGATCCAATTTCAAAAATATTTTCATCCTTTTAAATCATATTTTTGTTACTTATTTGACAATACTTTTTTAGTTCATTCTCTTTAATGAATAATATGCGTTTAGAAAAACTTTAACTAAATACAAAATCTTATACTCAACTGTTTGCGTCCGTGTTTATAAATATAGTTAATGCAAGAAGTAATTCTCGATGATTGAGGCAATAGCCAATTTAATCTGACTATTAATTTGGTAAGTTATGGTCCTCGACTTTAACTTCCTTATCAGGTTTGGTCCCCTATTATTTTTTCTAGGACAAATGACAAATAATACGTCACAATTTTTTTGAATATAAAAAAAATTGTTATAAGATTTTCGAGAAAATATACAAGACAACTTTCAGACAGTTATACAAATCCGATCGTCAGCCCTAGAAATAGACACAAAGTCAGTCACCTCATACAAAGCAACTTGATTCACTCAACACGAAGTGGACAATTTTAAGCCTGAAATGATTAGAACCAAAACATTGTATATCAAAAGTATTACATATATCTAAACCAAACCTTCTCGAATAAAAACAAAAACAATAACTACTAAAGTAAGAATAACACTGCCTATCTCCCGTAGGAGGACGAGCTGCTTCAAAATGAGTGAATACTTAATAATTTTTCTTATTTCATTCTATAATAAAACAGACAGAAGTCCCTAACCAGACGAAGCTGGCCGGGACACCAAAGCAATTCCTCACATTGAGGGAGACAAAAACACACCAGAACACTAGAGCCTAGAAAAGAACCACCATAAAACAACACAAACAGGACTACAAAAGAAGAATAGTCAAGTTGAGTCACACCCTTAGATTATCAAGAATCCCGAAAGCAGATGTCATGTTACCTTCTAAGAATGATGTTACTAATGACCATCAATTATTATCACTTTGTTGTGACTGTCGATCGGAAAAAAGATGATTGTCTGTCAGGATTTACCGTGACTCGTAAAAAAGATGATTGTCTGTCAGGGTTTACCGTGACTACTGACTTTCAAAATGGCTACTTTGAGAGAATTGCAATTACATATACAATTCTCGATAAAATCATAATCTGAAAGAAGATGATCGATAAAATCCTTACATGTTCGAGACCGTGGCTTGCATAGGGTTTGTATAGTACTTCACAAATTTATATAGCTACTCACGTTTTTAAAATGACTTAATAACAAATAAAGACAAAAACCTATTAGTGGGGCTGGTTTCGCAACCTAGAGAAGTTACGGAGATAAAAAAAAAAAGTAAAAGAAAAAACATTTTAGAGGAAGAAAAGAAAGGAAACATCACATGTAATTAAGAAGGGGTAAAGACACAACTATGAATATAAGAGAATAGCATTGTATAATACTTACTAATTGTACAACTTTTCTGTAAATGAAGTAAGAGCTTTTTTGGTGTATGATTGGTAAGCATCGGTCCATACTTTTTAACTTTTGTAATATTTAAAAGCATAAAAAGTCTTTCAAAACTTCTAGTTATACTCGTATTTTTTAAAGAAGAGAAACCAACATTCCACCAACATTAAGAGACCAAAACTCCCTTGTAGACTCCTTTTAGCCAACATACCATCTCACCCCTAAACAAACATAGAATAGACTACCCAAAATTGAACGAGACTAATTGCTGAACATGCGAAAACTTTGAAGCTATTAGCAGCCAACATAGTTTGATTGTTTCCACGCAAGTTACTAATTACCCAAAAAAAGCAAAAGATAAACCTACTTCCCCCCAAAGACAATGATAACGATAAAAACAGAGTACTTAATTAAAAAACTAAAACTAAATAAAATGGAATTAAAGCAGGTAAACTGGTGGAGCTCCCTCGCTCCACCTTCTTCATGTTACGCCTACAAGATCCCTCGCTCTGTGCTATGCGAGTCACAAAGTTCGCTCGTCTTCTTCAAAATCCTAGACTCTATTACACTCCACGGCAGAGGTTCGGGAAGGGGATGAGCCAGCAATACTGTAACTTCCTCCTCATCATACCTCTTATTCATCATATTCTCTGCCAAACCTCACTTTCACCAACAATAATGCGTCGCCAAACACCCATCGCCGTTATCTTGACCTCTAGTCGCCCAACCCTAGTTGGATCTCGCCGGAATTCAATTGTAAACACCTCCATGATCGAGCCTATGTCCTCCTGTATCTGTCTCCTTCACACTTTACAAAGAAAATTTTTGTCTAACCTACGCTCTCAAACTCTCATTGAGCCTTCCCCTCAGGCCATGAGAATCCTCCAATTGCCGCACTCTGCATTGATGATGCACACTGGGAAAGAAAACTGTCGAACAACAGCAAGTCGTCACCGGAAAAGCTATTTAAACCTAGGGGAAACCCCTAGACACCGTCCGCTCTCTTTCTAGTTACATGTTTGACATGCCAATTTTTAAGAGTTTTTTAATAAAAGATCCTTTTTGAGATGATATATAATGACTAGCATCTGAGAAAAGTATATAACTTTAGCATTAATTAATCCCAACAATTTGTATACCAAACATAACTAAATCAAACAGTCTGCTTTTTATCCAACAACTACTGCATTTTTAAAGATATTTTCAACCACTAAAACCTAACAATTACTATAAAAACTCATAAAAGTGTCGTTTTAGTTAGTT